ATCTTTCCATATCAATAAATAGAGCTGGATCTGTGAGCACTTGATTCAAAGGCTGAGAAATTTAAACGGTCAGCATTTCACCTCCCAGTGGCGATTGGTAATAGTTAACATGTATCCAGTACTTTATCATACACCAGGCCCTATATTAATTGTTTGACATCAGTTATCTCTCATTTGACCCTTAAGGCAATTGCAGGCAAGTTTCAGTTATTCAGATGAAGCTTTTGGGATCCCACTCAAAGTCAGATCCCTAGTGTGGATGGCAGTCAGGATTCAAACCCAGGGCCCACTGACAAAGAGGAAAAGATGCAGCTGGCAAGCAGGCCAGATGGAGGTGTAGACTGAGGCCGAGGAGGGGGTACATTCTGAGAAGCTATGGTTTCAAGGAAGAGACAAGAGGCTTCCTGGAAGTAATGTCATTTGGATGGATTGTGTCTCCAGCCAAGGAAGCAGGACTTTGAACTTTGACCCATATCCTATTTCCTCACCCCTAACGCTGTCTCCTTGCCTCTCTGGTCACCACTGTTTTTTATCATCGATCTACATGTATTCTCTACATATAAGTGAGATCATGCACTTGGAGTTCAAAGCCTGACACTTCATTGGAGCTTTGAGCAAATCCATGCAATTCCCTGAACTTTTATCTTTCTGTGTCTGGTTTATTTCATGTAGAGTAATGGCCTCCAGATCCACTCATAGTGTCAAATGGCTGGATCATTTTTTAGGGTGGAATACTATTCCATTATGTGTGTGTATACATATACATATATATATATATATATTATATATACGTATATATGCCACTGTTTCTCTTCTTTGGTAGTACTAGGGTTTGAACTCAGAGCCTTGTGCTTGCTAGGCAGGTGCTCTACCACCTGAACCACTTGAAGAGAGGGAAGCAGGATAAGGGGAATCAAGCAAGGCTGTGGTTTCTGGTAAAGCCTTCTGTTCCTCCGTGCCAGAGGGCCACATGGCTGCGAGAAGAAGCAGAAACAGCAAGCCAACAAGGCAGCTTCCCAGGAGGCATGTGCTGACCCCCTAGAAAGGGCCAAGAAGCTCCCAGACCGCTTGCCTGCCTAATGAACCACATTCCAGGGCATTCTGGAACATTCACTTCCCAGACTTGTTTTTGAAGAACTCTCCTACTCTCTGTGACCAGCACATTGAAAAAGCCAGCCTGCCACATAATGAAAGCACAGCCTTATTTTTGTCACCCAATGTCCCTTTCAAAATGTACTCAGTGGAAACCACACACACACACACACACACACACACACACACACACACACACACACACACATACGTTTCCCTGCTGCCGAGTGACAAATCATCCCTGTTGGTTTGCTGCTTACTCTCAGCAGGTAGACAGTGCTCTGGTCACCTTAGGTGACAAACAACCATCATTTTAGGAATTTGGATGTCCAGTCCAGCTAGTAACTGAAAATCCTGATTAGAGTTTAAGCCTTGTCCATGTCCCCAGCTTGGTAGACAGGGTGAGTAGCTAACTCCTTCTCTTCCTCTCCTCTCCTCCCCCAGGTGGGACCTGGGGCCAGGTAGTGGTGAGGAGGGAGAGGAAAGGTCACCTGAGCTGCCACCAGCCTGGCTGGCTTTGAACTGGCTGAACCCAGCAGGCATTTAGAGCTTCCCCTTGATGTTTCGGTATGAGGCTGTGGGCGCCAGCCACATGGGCGCCCCCTGCAGGCTCCTCAAACCCTTGACCTGAGGCTAGAGCGGCACTCTTGACCTGCAAAGGGGGTGTGTGTGTGTGTGTGTGTGTGTGTGTGTGTGTGTGTGTGTGTGTGTCCTTTGCAACTTCTTTCTCAATCCCCAAGAATCTAACACCCATTCCCACCCTGGCTTCTTGCAGCTGCCACCAGCTCCCCTCCAGGGTGCCCCAGGGGCAGGACCCATGCCAAGCCCTTATAGGAACTCTCTGCCCATGCAGGCCCATGGGAAACATTTAAGCACTGGCTCCCAGAGCTTCCTGGAGTGTGGCTGACTTTGGCACATGCGCACATGCGCACATGCACACACGCACACACACACACACACACACACACACACACACACACGCTCTTCTGGCTCCTTCACCAGTGCCCCTGCGTAGCCAGCTCCCATCAGCCCAGCTGTCCCTTGACTCCGCATTTAAGCTCTCATAGGAGTACCTCCCTGCCAGGGGAGTGCCCCTTCCCCATCCTGCCCTCTACGTTTTCCTATGGCCAAGGTGAACCCTTTCTTCTCTCCTCTAGATCTATGGGTGAGTGTCGGGGTGATAATAAATGCTGGGGGTGGGTTTACTGCTCACGGCCTAATCTTAGCAGTTGTAAGTCTCACACTGTGCCCTTAAAAACTGATCACTAGGCCGGGCACCGGTGGCTCACGCCTGTAATCCTAGCCACTCAGGAGGCTGAGATCTGAGGACTGAGGTTCAAAGCCAGCTGGGGCAGGAAAGTCCATGAGACTCTTATCTCCAATTAACCACAAGAAAAACCAGAAGTGGTGCTATAGCTCAAGTGGTAGACTGCTAGCCTTGAGCTGAAGAGCTCAGAGACAGCGCCTGGGCTCAGAGTTCAAGCCCCATGACCAATGAAAACAAAACAAAACAAACAAACAAAAAAAAACAAAACAAAAAGAAAAAAACCCCTGAGAACTGGTTGTCCCTGCAGAACTTTCTTGCAACACTATACCATGCACAACTGCCTGTTGAGCCTTAGTTTCCTCAATCTTTGCCTGATATTTACCCATTAGGGTTACTGCACTGAAAAAAAGTGACCAGTGAATTCACGGAGCATCGCTAGGACTGACACACTTAGGCTAGCACTCCAAAGTCACAGATTTGCAGCTCCTTCTGTGTGTGACATTTACCGGTGACTTGACCTCTGTGTGTCCTCATCTGTCACATGGCACTCAGAAGATCCTCTACTCTAGACCTCTCTGTGGGCTTTCATTGAATGAATATGTATAAAATGCCTAGCTTGGGGGTGGGGAAGGTGGCTTAGTGGTAGAGTGCTTGCCTAGCATGAATGAAGCCCTGGGTTTGGTTCCTCAATACCCCATAAGTAGAAAGAGCCAGAAGTAGCACTGTGGCTCAAGTGGTAGAGAGCTAGCCCTGAGCAAAAGAAGCTCAAGGACAGTGCCCAGGCCCTGAGATCAAGCCTCAGGACTGGACCTTGTGGGGCATGGGGTCCAGGCTGGATGGTGTCCACATGAGGGAAGGTGGGCTGAGCTTTTACACTCCTGTGAATTGAGCAAGGAGTGTGGGATCTTCACTCCTCCTGTCCTCCTCCCCTCAGTCCAGGCCCTGGTTTGGAAAACTTTCAATCTGGCAGGGATCCAGGGCCCCTGGGAACAGAGAGGACGTCCTGTCCCTCCAAGCAACCATGCCGACTCAGAGAAATCAATGTGTGCCCACAAAGCCACAGCTGCGGCTCTGGCCTCTTCTGGGAAATCTGTACACACAACCCCTGAGCAGATGTTCACTCCTGGGCAGCTCCATCCTGGGGCACGATTCCGACACCTTCAAGCTCACCAGCCTCGTGGGTCACAAGCGCCACACGACCTTACAACTGAGGTCAGGTGCCTCTGACACCTGTCAAGCACCCACTCAATCCCCCATCTCCCCACTTCTCCAGACCACTGGTTGGGCAACCCCATGACCTCAGCCTGGATCAGCCGCAGCAGGTGAGCACTGTTGAAGAGCACAGGACATTTTGTTCTTTTGAAGCTGAAGAACCAGAGTGCAAACCCCGCCCACCCTCCCCACCACTTATTTTGTTGTAACTTTTGGCTGTGTGCCTTCACCTCTGTGAGGTCTGGGTTTTCTGATCATCACACATGGACTACTAACGGCCCCCACCTTGCAGAACTGTCCTGTCAAGGTGCGCCACTCATGTAAGCAGGTGCACCACCAAGAGGAGATGTTACTGCAAACCAACATGAGGCATAAAAGAGCAGCTTATGGGGGCTGGGAAGGTGGCTCAGTGGTAGAGTGCTTGCCTCGCATGCATGAGGCCCTGGGTTCGATTCCTCAGCATCACATACACAGAAAAACCAAAGTGGCACTGTGGCTCAAGTGGTAGAACACTAGCCTTGAGCTGAGGAGCTCAGGTACATCACCCAGGCCCAGAGTTCAAGCCCCACTACCGACACAAAAGAAAAAGAGCAGCTTCTGTGAAGCCCTGGGTTCAATCTGAAGTCCTATGACACACAAGCACAAACAGAAACAGCAGGAGGTACACACCAGAGTGTATGTAGACATACACAGGAGAGCCTGGCTGCCCGGGTTAGAAACCAGGCTACTCTATCAAGGGCAAGCTTTTGTCCCATTTACTGTCAGATGAGACAGTCATGTCCCAGCATGACTAGGTGCACTGGCAATAGTGTCTGGCACGTCATAATCCCTAATAAGCATGATCGGTTTCTGATATGTCTTACCAGTTCAGAATGTGAGGCAAGTGTGTGGAAATCACACAGGATCTTGACAGGATTCACAGGAAATTCATATTTAGTGGATTCGGAAGCACACATTCTTTTTTTTTTTTTTTTTGGGTCCGGTTGTGGGGCCTGAACTCTGGGCCTGGACGCTGTCCCTCAGCTCCTCAGCTCAAGGCTAGTGACCTACCACTTGAGCCACAGAACCACTTCCAGCTTTTTTCTTTTTGCTTATGTGGTGCTGAGGAATCGAACCCAGGGCCTCATGCATGCAAGGCAAGCGCTCTACCACTGAGCCACCTTCCCAGCCCGAGGCACACATTCTTAACCCATGTATATGTACACATGTGCAGGTGTATACAAAAGCAGTGATGTAGGCAATTTTGTCTTTGGATTTTTTTGGCGAAAGCTTTATATTATAAAACAAGACCAATAAAAAAACAATCACACAACTTAAAATTGTGGTTTAAAGTTTGTTTCAAGATAACTACCCTGGTAACCATTAACCCAGCCAAGCAATAATACTTTTCTAGCCTTTCCAAGAGCCTTCTAGGTATTCCATCCTAATCCCAGCCCTTCCTTAAAGTAATTGAAAACGTGTAATATTTCTTTCTTTTTTTCTTTTGGTAGTACTGGGGCTTAAGCTCAGGGCCTTGTGCTTGCCAGGTAAGTGCTGTAGAGCCACACACCTTGCCTTTTTTGCTTTATTAATTTTTTTCCTGATAGGATCTTGTATATTTTGCCCAGGGCTGGCCTCAGACTATGAACCTCCTACCTAGGGTCTCCTGAAGGGCTGAGATTGTAGGCTGGTATCACCATGCCTAGAAAACTTGTCTCAATATTGAAGCAGCTCAAAAATATCTTTATGTTGGGGAGTGTGAAAACGGGCCAGGTAAGGAGATAATAAACGATTATCTCAGGGAACTTCATCCACCTTCAAATAAGAAGCCAGTAATTATGGCAAGAATCATGTTGTGCACAAAGGAATACAAAACCAGGAGGGATGGGGACTTGCCCGAGGCCACACAGCTAAAGGCAGACTTAAGTGAATTTGTTGTTGTTGTTGTTGTTTGCGGGTTGTGGGGAATGAACTCTGGGCCTGGGTGCTGTCCCTCAGCTCTTCAGCTCAAGGCTAGCGCTCTACCACTTGAGCCACAGCACCACTTCCAGATTTTTTTTTTCTGCTTATGTGGTGCTGAGGAATTGAACCCAGGGCCTCACCTTCCTAGCCCAAGACTAAGTGTACTTTGGATGAAAATCTTCTCCTTGGAGCAGCCAGTCCTGAGGGCAGCTGTAGCAGGAAGAATTCTGGAATGCTAACCCTGAGGTCTGGGTTGGAACTCTGTTTACGGCACTGATTGCCACTTTTCCTTTCATGAAACAGTAGGATTGCACACCGTGAGAATTTGATAAGAAAACGGCTATGAAATCCCAGGTACGTGGTAGTACGTCTTCAGAAAACGGCCTCTTTCTTTCCTTCTCTGGGCCTCAGTTTCCCCATCTGTACACCTGGATGGAAAGCCCGGGGCGCTCCGCTTGCTCTTTCCAGCCGGGATCCTGCAGCCTCACGGAGCCGCCGCCAGAGGGAGGCAGAACGCCAGCAACGCCGGGAGACGTCGCGCACGCGCACTCCCGGAGACGCCGCGCCCGCCCACGTGCGCGTCACTTCCGGCGCGGGGGGCCGGGCCGGCCGGGCGGGAGTGCGGGTCGGTTCTGTGCGTGCTGCCAGACGAGGTTCCAGCCGCCGATTGACCCGCGCTCCGCCCTGCGCCGGTGAGTGCCGGCGAGGCCGGGGTGGGCCCGGGGGGCCGACCAGAGGGACTTCGAGGGGGAGGACACACCGGAAGTGAGGGCCAGAGGAGCGGGAGACCCCAGGAAATGGGGACAGCTGGGGAGGGGGCGATGGCCGGAAGTAAGGGGCCTCGGGAGGCCGCCGGGCTGGGTGCGGAGGCCCCCGGCGGGCTCCACTTCCGGCGTCTGGTTGTTGGGGGTTCGGGGACGGGGTGGGGGTGATGCCCCTGAGATGCTGGGCTCCGGGTGGGGAAGGTGAGGGACTGACCACCATGAGCTTTGCCTGCCGTCCGTGTGTCCGTCCGTGTGTCCGTCCTCTGCCCGCTCTCACCCCGCCGGCCAGGGTGGAGTGTGAGCCGGGGGCCCTCGCCCACCGCCGCCCCCAACCTTGACCGAACACTGCCAGGCCCCCGGCGTGGGGGCAGCAGGGCGGGTGACCGGGGCAGGCGGCCTCCCTCCCTCCACTCCAGGGTCCTAATGATGTGCTCAGCGAACTATTGTGACAGTTAAACCAGGGGCTGAGGGTGTATGTAGCTCAGTGTCGAGGGCTTGGCTAGCACGCACACGAGGCCCGCACTTCCATCCCAGCACTGCCAAGTAATAATGATAATAAAGGAGAAAACGGGTATTTAATGGGGGGGGGGGGGACAACCCACCCAGGTATGTGTCATCGCTTTCCATCATTCTTCTATGTTGGAAGCTTCCTGAGATGTGTATGTGTTGTTTGTTGCTGTGTCCCAACCGCCCATCAGCGCTGGTCCCTGACACATGGAGGAGGGTGACCAGTATTTATGGGATGCAAGAATGGATGGGGAAACTGACTCAGACATTTCTTGTCAACACCGGTGACACTGGACTACAGAGCAGTAGGAACCCCAGTGCTGTGGATCACGCAAGGGAACCGCCCTGGGGAAGTCAGGGGAGGCTTCCCGGAAGAGGTGGCAGTGAGGAGTTGTCTGGTTGGCAACAAACTGGGGAGGAAAATCCAAGCAGAGAATATCAGGAATGCATAGGGTGTCACATGGAATGGTGGATCATTTGTTTGGACTGGCAGAGGGCCGAGGGAAGTCTGTGCCTCTCAGGTAAGCAGAGCCCTAGCCAGGTTGGAATTTCAGGTACCTGTTGCTAACTGTTGTGGAAACAGCCTCAGGTGGGTCCTGTGAAACCAGGATTGTTGTTGGGCTCTTCCCTTAACATACCTGTGTCAAGCTTGTTAAACTCATACAATAAATATTGATGGAGTACAGGCTATGTGTCTAATACAATGTTAAGTGCTGTGTTCATGCTAATGAGCAAGACTTGATGTGGATATTGCTTATACACAATGACAGGTGGAAGACATGGTATGACAAAGATGTGTGGGAGGCTGTCAGTGGAATGCCAGCTGCTTCAAGCCACAGTTCTCTCTCAACTGTATTTCAGAGTCTCACTATATGGTCTGGTCTGTCCTTTCCCTCCCCTCTCCCCTTTTCTTTGGTGTCAGTTCTGGGGATTGAACTCAGGGCCTGAGCACTGTCCCTGAGCTTTTTCCCTCAAGGTTGGTGCGGTATTACTTGAGCCACAGCTCCACTTCCCGGTTTCTGGTAGTTAATTGGAGACCAGAGTCTCATGGATTTCCTGCCCAGGCTGGCTTTGAGCCATGATTCTCAGATTTCAGCCTCCTGAATAACTAGGATTGCAGGCATGAGCCACCGACACCCAGCTCTCCTCACTCTCTTACAAGTCTGTTTTCCAGGCAGCAGTGTGGTCCTTGGGAAATCTAAATTAGATTGTCACTGTACCCAAAACCCTCTGTCTTCTTTTAGAGTAGAAGTCATGGTTCTTACCCATAGAGCCGTGGTCCAATCACTGGGCCCCCAGGAAGCCTCAGAATTCACCTGCCTAGTGTTCCTGCTTATATCTCATAGCCACACTCACCTCTAAAAAGCCTGGCATGTTCCTTCCTGATGTGCAGGGCTTGCTCCATCCCCTCCCTCCTCTTTCCTCAAGCTGCCTAGGTGCACTTTCCTGAGGACTCTGTTTAACATCAAACCCCTTATCTCCAGGAACACACAACCCACCTCCCTGCCTTCACAGCACTTAGTGCTTGTAGTAGGCCATACAGCTTTCTTTTAATTAGCATACATTAGTTCTACAGTGGTAAATTTCATTGTGATACTTTCCCCCAAAAGGTTTATAATGGATACAATCAATCTCATTCCCTCTTATCACTCTACCCCTAAAACAATTATTTTATAACTTGATATTTATTATGAAGTTACTCCTAAAGTAATTTCAACAGGGTTCATTGTTCTATTTTCATACATGCAATCAGTCAACTTCAGCTAGAACCTCTTTAATCTCCTTGTTAGCCCCGCCTCCTCCCGCTAGCCCCACCCCTGCAACAGAGCCTGTTTCTCTTTAGACCACATCGTTTATTATGTTTCTAGGCTGTCTGTATCTTCACTGGAACCTAAGCTCAGTGAAAGCAGGGTTCTTTGTTCCTTCCTGTATCCCCAGTGCTTGGAAAGGGGCCTGGTACCTCATATGTGCTCAGTATTTACTGAATGGGACTGGGGGTGATGATTCATGCTTGTAATCCCAGCTACTGGGGAGATGGAGGCTGGAGAGTGATGAGCTCAAGGCCAACCCTAACAATGACAGGGAGACTTTATCTCAAAATCAAAATACAAGAGGGCTGGAGGCATATTGTAAGTAGCATAGTGCTTGCTTAGCATGAATGAGGCCCTAGGTTCAATGCCCAGTACCAAAGCAGAAGGAAGAGGGGGGAAAAAATGGATGAATGGAGTGGCATCTAATTGCGCCTTACAGTAGTAAATCATGGTGGGCTGGGGGTCAGCTGAGAAACTGGAGGGAGAGTGACAGGGAGGGACCAGAACATGCCCAGGATGAGAACATACCTTGGGAGGAAGGAAGTGGGTGGAGCAAGAGGTTGGAGTGAAAGAGATGGAGTAGATAGACCCAAGATGTGAGGGAGCAAGCTGCTTGGCCACTGACTGCAGCAGGCTGGAGGAAGTCCAGCAGATGCAATGAGGACTTCACAGTGTGGACAGGGCCTCCTTTGAGGAACATTGCCCTCGATGTGGAGCTCGCAGTGAAGGATCAGTAATGGCTTGCGGACAAGAGCTGGGCCTCTGGAACTGGGCAATCCTGCTGCTTTATTCCTGGGATAACTCAGCAGTTTTATTTTTAATTTTCATTAAAAATGCTTCAGGTTTTCCCAGAAGCAGACAGTGGGGTCTAGTTGATTGGAGATAAGGAAGATAGCTGGATGCAGGTGGCTTGCACCTGTCATCCTAGATACCCAGGAGGCTGAGATCTGAAGATCTCAGAAGCCAGCCCAGGCAGGAATGACCGTGAGACTTACTTCCAATTAACTACCAGAAAACTGGAAGTGGTACTATGATTCAAAGTGGTAGAGTGCTAGCCTTGAGCAAAAAAGCTCAGGGACAGTGCCCAGGCCCTGAGTTCAAGCCCCATGACCAAACCAGAGAGAGGGAGGGAGGGAGGGAGAGAAGGAAGCTGGAAATGTCAGGAAGAGCTTTTAGTTCAGTGAAGCAGGGATAGCAGGAAGCTTAGGCCACAAGAGTGAGGGTCGTGTGAGCTAGGAAGGCTTAGTTCAACTGCTTTGTCATTGACGAGTGATCTGTGGAGCGTGGAGCATTTGCCAGATGGTACATGGGACAGTGGCTGGGGGTCACTCATCAACTAGATTTCTCCAGAAGCTGATCTGACCACTGCATCTACACAATTTAGTTGTATGGGTACTTGAAAAAAAAAAATTCAAACAGTACACTAAAAAAGAATCTCTTGCTGGGCGCTGGTGGCTCATGCCTGTAATCCTAGCTACTCAGGAGGCTGAGATCTGAGGATCTCGGTTCAAAGCCAGCCGGGACAGGAGAGACCGTGAGACTCCTATCTCCAACAAACCACCAGAAAACCGGAAGTGGCGCTGTAGCTCAAGTGGTAGAGCGCTCGCCTTGAGCTGAAGAGCTGAGGGACAGCGCCCAGGCCCAGAGTTCAAGCCCCATGACCGACAAAAACAAAAAAACAAAGAAGAATCTCTTGGGGCTGGGAAGGTGGTTCAGTGGTAGAGTGTTTGCCTTGCATGCATGAAGCCCTGGGTTCAATTCCTCACTAACACATAAACAGAAAAAACGGGAAGTGGTGCTGTAACTCAAGTGGTAGAGAACTAGCCTTGAGTAGAAGCAGCTCAGGGACAGTGTCGTAGCCCTGAGTTCAAGCCCCAGGATGGGCAAAAAAAAAAAGAATCTCATGGAATTTCCTGCCTGGGCTGGCTTCAAACTGAGGTCCTCAGATCTCAGCCTCTTGAGTAGCTCAGATTACAGGTGTAAGCAACTGGTGCCAGCTCATAGGTGGTTGTAGATTTTAATAGAGACTGACAAGCTGCCTTTCATAGAAACTGTCAGTTTGTGCTATGAAAGCACTCTAGACTGTTTTATTTTTGTCAATTAGAATCTCACAATTGTTTGAATTTAGATTTTTTAATGTTGGGTAAGGCTGTCAAACTCTTATAAAGATACATAAGGGGGGCTGGGAAGGTGGCTCAGAAGTAGAGCGCTTGCCTTGCATGCAAGAGGCCCTGGGTTCGATTCCTCAGCACCACATAAGCAAAAAGAAAAAAAAAGGCCGAAGTGGTGCTGTGGCTCAAGTGGTAGAGTGCTAGCCTTGAGCTGAAGAACTGAGGGACAGCGCCCAGGCCCAGAGTTCAGGCCCCACGACCAAACCCCCCCCCCCCCCCAAAAAAAAAAAAGATATACAAGGAAGCTGTCCTGGTTTGGTTTTTTGTTGTTGTTGCTGTTTGTCGGTCGTGGGGCTTGAACTTTGGGCCTGGGCATTGTCCCTGAGCTCTTCAGCTCAAGGCTAATGCTCTACCACTCGAGTCATAGCACCACTTCCAGTTTTCTGGTGGTTAATTGGAGATAAGAGTCTCACGGACTTTCCTGCCCGGCTGGCTTTGAACCTCAATCCTGAGATTTCAGCCTCCTGAGTAGCTAGGTTTACAGGCATGAGCCACCAGTGCCCAGCTAGCTGTCCTGTTTTGATGAAGAGGGTATACATTGAGCCAGAGCAGGCTGGATGTCTTCCAGAAAATTCTGTGTCAAGTCTGTACCTGGGGAAACTATTCAGATCCCAGTTCATTCCCCTTTGAGGTTTGTGGTCCTGACAGGAACATCCGTGTCCCCCACATCCTGGGGGTTCACATAAGCTGTGCCATGGGCCACTGCATCTTAACCTAGCTTTGGGGGCCCTCTGTGTCGACAGGGACCCTAGTGGCTAATGTCAGAAGAAAGTGACTCTCTGAGAACCAGCCCCTCTGCGGCATCGCTCTCCGAGAATGAGCTGCCGCCACCGGCCGAGCCTCCTGGCTACGTGTGCTCACTGACCGAAGAGCTGGTCCTCAAAGCTCGGGAGGAGCTGCAGGAGAAGCCCGAGTGGAGACTCCGGGATGTCCAGGCCCTCCGCGACATGGTGCGCAAGGAGTACCCCAACCTGAGCACGTCCCTGGACGACGCCTTCCTGCTGCGCTTCCTCCGGGCCCGCAAGTTTGACTATGACCGCGCTCTGCAGCTGCTGGTCAACTACCACAGCTGCAGGCGAAGCTGGCCCGAGGTCTTCAGTAACCTGAGGCCCTCGGCCCTCAAAGATGTCCTCGGCTCCGGGTTCCTCACCGTGCTGCCCTGCACGGACCCCAGGGGCTGCCACATCCTCTGCATCCGCCCAGGTACTGACCTCAGCTGTCACTGTATTGTCCCTCTGGGACTGTCCCCGCCGTCCTGAGCCCTGTCCTTTCTCCTGGTCCCTTCTGCCAGCAGATGGCCAGAACCTGCTGAGGAGGCAGGAGCATCTCCTCCCCTAGAGACGAAGGTGCAACAGCTCTTACCAAGTCCTAGAAGCAGGAACCGGGGGCTACAGGAGCCTGTCTCTGCCTCTGTGTCTGTGTCCTCTGGGCCATTCGTTTCTGATGCCTTTGCAAATCATCTTCACACTTGTTTGGTTTGGACTGCCAAAGAAAGCTAAATCTGGCTCTCAGCTCTCAGATGCACCTGGCCCCCCCAGTTAAATGCCCTCGATGCAAATTCTAGCTTTCCAGGGAAAGAATCCGGTGGGCACAGGATGTAGGCCTGGCTTCCAAGACCTTTCTACAAAAAGCATTGAGAAGTGCGGCCCAGTGACAGGGTGCTAGAACTGCTACCCTGGAATTTGCCATTCCATCCTCTCTCTCTCTCTCTCTCTCTCTCTCTCTCTCTCTCTCTCTCTCTCTCTCTCTCCTCCTCTCCCACCCCGCCCCAGTCTTGTGGCTTGAACTCAGGGCCTGGGTGCTGTCCCTGAGCCTCCTTTACTCGAGGCTAGCACTCTACCACTTGAGCCAAAGCTCCTCCTCTGGCTTTTTTTTTGTATATGTGGAACTGAGGAATTGAACCCAGGGCTTCATGTATGCTAGGCAAGCTCCCTACCACTGAACCACCTTCCCAGCCCCCACCCCATGAGACCAAACACACTCTTCACCCGTTCCCCACTCCTCTCATAGTCTGTCCACTTCCCACCCGACCAGATCCCAGAAAAAATGGAAAGGCACATTCAGTGTTCTTCCCAAGCAAGCCAGGAATGGAGATGGCAGGGAGCAGAGATGTTCATCTTGGCTGGCATCAGTATCCTCTTCAACCTAGGAAATAGAGGTCAGAGGCAGGAAGCAACTTGCTCAAGATCTCAGCTACAAGGGCAAAGCACCAGGCTCATACTTTAATCTCAACACTCAGTTCCATTTCCATTTCCAAATGCACTCCTGCATTTGGAGTTAAGAAGCATCCATTGCTGTGTAGGATCACTAATTGTGATTTTTTTTTCTTCTTTTTGTGCCAGTCCTGGGGCTTGAACTCAGAGCCTAGACACTGCTCCTGAGCTGTTTTTTTTTTGTTGTTGTTGTTGTTTTTTGTTGTTGTTTTTTGTCGGTCATGGGACTTGAACTCTGGGCTTGGGCACCATCCCTGCACTCTTCAGCTTAAGGTGAGTGCTCTACCGCTTAAGCCAATGCGCCACTTCCCGTTTTCTAGTGGTTTTTATTGGAGATAAGAGTCTCACGGACTTTCCTGCCCAGGCTGGCTTTGAACCTCGATCCTCAGAACTCAGCCTCCTGAGTAGCTAGTATTACAGGCATGAGCCACCAGCGCCCAGCCTGAGCTGTTTTTGTTTAAGGCTAGCATACTACCACTTGAGCCACAGCTCCCCTTCTGGCTTTTTTGGTGGTTAAAGTGTCTCATGGACTTTCTTACCCGGGCTGGCTTTGAACCATGATCCTTAGATCTCAGCTTCCTGAGTAGCTAGGATTATAGGTGTGAGGAACCAGTACCTGGCTCAAGATCATGAACATCTTTGTCCCATTTGAGACAGCAGTTTGGAGAAAGTAAATCTTTATCTGATTGCTTGTTTGTATTCATTTCTGTAACATAGTGTCCATCTCTTCTGATCTTAGACAGGTGGATACCAAGCAACTATCCATTTACTGAAAACATTCGGGCCATATACTTGACGTTAGAAAAACTCATTCAGTCCGAAGAAACCCAGGTGAATGGAATTGTCATTCTCACAGACTACAAAGGAGTGAGCTTATCAAAAGCATCTCATTTTGGCCCTTTTATAGCCAAAAAGGTGATTGGCATCCTCCAGGTATGTCTCTTCTTTGCTGTGTGCCCCGCCTGTGGTTCTTTTGGCTTTCTCCAGGTCCTTCTGCTGAAGGTCTCATGGGATTCCACAAACCCCACTTCCCACCCTGAGATGGGAAATCATCTTCAGTCCTGTCTGTCATGGCTGTCAGCAGGGTACCATCTGGAGATGGTACCTCGTGTCTGCACAAGATCAGCGTTAGGGCAAGAATCCCAAAGAAAACCCAGAAACCATGCCACTGTCCAGAGTGCTAGAGCCTCTGATGTGGGACTGTACTTTGGTCAGAGTCTCACTACTCATCTTCTGCACTTCAGAATCCAAGTACAGTCCCTTCCATATCTTCCCACTGTTCAGTGCCAGCAAGGTGCTGTTACAGTCATTACCACTCAGTCTTTCAGAGAATCTTTGAGTTAAGCAAGCCAAGACATTTTCTTTTTGATGGGGAAATTGAGACCTAGGGGAACATGGCCACAGTGTCATAGCGGTATAATAGGTCTGGATTTTTTTTTGGTTACCCCTGAGCACTGTCTCTTGTGACTTATGGGGCACCAGTGGGACAGTAGTACCCCTTGTTGAGTTTCACAAAAATATTCAAGTGTCTGCTGTGCACTTGCTTGTTATCGTGGTCCTATTTATTTGGTCCTTATGGCCAACTTGATTTCTGATTTTGATCCAATTAACCACTTTCTTTAGCTTCAAGTGTGTGGGTGAGGGTGGGTAATTTATTTTTGTTTTTGTGCTGGTACCAGGTCTCGAAGTCAGGAACTTGAGGTTCTACTTTTGCATTTATGGCTGATATTCTACCACTTCAACCATGCCTCCAGTCTGGCATTTTGCTGGCCTGATGTAGAACTATGATCCTCAGATCTCAGCCTTCTGAGTAGTGAGGCTTATAGGCAGGAGCCATTGGCACTCAGCTTTTTTGTGTTTTGTTTTGTTGTTTTTTGAGATAGCCTCACAATGTAGTCCAGGCTGGCCTTGAATTCACTTTGCAGTCTAAGCTGGCCTCAAATTAAACCTATGATTCTCCTCAGTCACCAGGTCACGCAGTAGCAGGAGTGCACTACACCTGGTTTGTTTTGGGGTTTTTTGTTTTAGTGTTTTGCTTTGTTTTGGTGATGAGGATAGAGCTCAGGGCCTCACACATAGTAGAAAACGTTCTACCACTGAGCTTCACCCTCTGACCTCTACTCTGGAATGGTGACTCCAGCTGAGTACCATACACATGCCGTGCCAGGGTGGGGTTTGCAATGTGTTTACCTGGTACTGGAAGATCATCTAGCAGAGACACAAATTCCAGTGCTAACCAAGCTTAGGAAAAATCATATGAATTTCAGCAGAAAGATCTAAGTATTAAAGGCTGTGAACAGGACTGTAGTTAAGGAAACACCGTTGATAGGATGTGTTAGCGAAATGAGCTCCCTTCCCATAGCTTAGTCCACTCCTTCCCTTCTCCACAGCTTAGCATGCTCCCTTCCTAGGCAACACCAGGCCCATGTAGTAAATAATTATTTACTGCCCAAGGCAGTAAATAATCAGCCTCCAACCCCCTTTACCTTGGGATGGCACTTCTCTGGGGCAGCTAACACCATACAAGGCAACAGAGCCCCTTAGAGTGAACTTCAGGTCTGGACAGTTGCAGGACCTTTATCTACTATTTTGACAGCACCCATAAATCCTAGTATGGCATGATGAAGCCCTGGCCTACCCATCCACACCAGGGTCTGCCTCCTAGCCCCTTCTAGCCCCTCCTAAACCTCCTAACTTATATAGGTCACCTCAGACAATGGCCGGTGCTTCTTCTCACTTCTCCCATGTGAGAAGGAATCTTGCCAGCCCCTTTCCCGGCAATAAACCTTGCTCTGTGTACCTAGATGTCTGCATGGTTCTCTGGCAAAGTCTAATTAATCTTTTTTAAGCTTACAGGATATATCCTACATTTCTCAGGCTGCCTTACCTGCCTTGAAAAGTTTTTGCAACACTGACCCACTAGGTCTTCTATTTTCTAGATCAATCCATGTCAAATCAAACTCTTTTTGCTACTAGAGGGGCAGCTGTCTGCCTGTTTGCCTAACCCTCTCTGACCCAGTCTAGGAGAAACTGCTCTTCCTGTGTGGCCCCAGTAGGGCTGTCTTGGAGGAGTCAGAGCAGACCACAGTTGGGGCTTTTCATGGAGTTAATGTGGAGGTTTAATGGAGAGACTGGCTGTGGAACAGAGTTTGTAGAAACTGCAGCTGTTCTAACATCCTGTTTCCTTCTTCCTTCCCACAGGATGGTTTCCCCATTCGGATCAAAGCAGTCCATGTAGTAAATGAGCCTCGAATATTTAAAGGCATTTTTGCCATCATTAAGCCATTCCTAAAGGAGAAAATAGCCAACAGAGTAAGTAAAATGCTTTGATTTTATAAGCCTTAGGTTTTTGTTTTTTTCCTCAACTTATTTCAGACTTCAGGTACTTAATTTTTTGCCCTAGAACTAATTTGGAAAATATGGCATTCCAGGTAAATACAAATAAACAATCCTTTCGTTCTTTTCTCTTCTCTTTTCTTTTTCTGGGACTTGAACTCAGGGTCTGTGCTTTTTCACTCAAGACTAGCACTCTATCACTTTGAGCCACAGCACCACTTCCAGTTTTTTGGTGGCTCATTGGAGATAAGAGTCTCACATACTTTCCTGCCCAGGCTAGCTTTGAACTGCGATCCTCACAGTTCAGCCTTCTGAGTAGCTAGGACAGAAAGAATATGCTGTATGATTGAATACCTAAAGACATGTGTCTGTGTTTTGTATTCCATCTCCTTTTAGTTCTTCCTCCACGGGTCTGACCTGAACTCTCTCCATACAAACCTCCCAAGAAACATTCTCCCCAAGGAATATGGGGGCACAGCTGGAGAGCTGGACACTGCCACCTGGAACGCAGTGCTGCTGGCCTCAGAGGATGACTTTGTGAAAGAGTTCTGCCAGCCTGTCCCTGCCTGCGACAGCATCCTGGGCCAGGCGCTGCTGCAGGAGGGGCTGACCTCAGATGCACAGTGTGATGACTCCATGCGGGCTGTCAAGTCCCAGCTCTACTCTTGCTATTAGCCAGTCCCCCGGGAGTGTCAGCCCACCCAGCTCTCCTTTCCTTTCTTCTTCAGATACTCAGAAGAACTTACGGTGCCAAGGCCTCAGTCTTGCTCTCTGTAATTAAATGGCAGCATGGAAGAACCATAGGGAGAGCACCCTAGGCGAGCCCAGCCTGGTGGTTGAGCCTTTGGTCACGTGGTTATTTTAGGGGAAGACATGGAAAGTATCCCCATCGATTCCCAAACTCTCAGCTTGCTGGAAGCTGTGTCTGCTTCATATGTAGCTCAGAAACAAGCAAAGTGGGGACCAAAGTGACTGGTCTTCCCAGGAAAAAAACCACAATTGGCCAGTCAGCATTATTCTCATGCAACCATTTGGTCAAATCCATAATGTGGCCAAATGTGAGGCGCTGGGATTCTGTCTTTCCTGTGAACCTTAACTGCAGACTTGTGTTGCTTGAGATCCAGGCCCCAGTTGCCATCACTGGGCCTGCAAAGCACCTTCACTGAATGGGAACACCAGAACCCAAGCAGCACTTCCTAGCCAGATTTGGAAAGCCAGAGACTTCAAGCATCCTCAGCATTCCTTTATTTGGATCTTGCAATAGAAACTCCCACTCCTGCTGGGCATGGTGGCTCACGCCTGTAATCCTAGCCACTCAGGAGGCTGCTCTGAGGATTGTGGTTCAAAGCCAGCCTGGGCAGGAAAGTCCGTGAAACTCATCTCCAATAAAAACCACCAGAAAATTGGAAGTGGCGCTATAGCTCAAGTGGTAGAGCACTAGCCTTGAGCTGAAGAGCTAAGGGACAGAGCTCAGGCCCAGAGTTCAAACCCCATGACCGACCAAAAAAAAAAAAAAACCTCCCACCCCCACTTCATCCCAAATCCATAAAGCCTTAGCCTTGGTTCTCAATGGAATCATACAGGATCCTAGAAGTGTATGATTTTGTTCCATGTAATAGACTGATTCTAGGCCTATAGAATTGGGATCTAGGGATCAGAGACCTGTACCTCGGATATGAGACTGTGGACAACTCATGAGACTCTTTTGGCTGCTGAGCTTCTGGTATTGGTGTTAAGCTATCGTTAGGTTTTCTGCCTAGAGAAATGTCTAGATTAACTGTCTAGGTCCTGATATTTTGTGATATATTCACAGGCCTTTCCATGAAGAAGTGTCACTATTTGGTCTTGCCCTTAAAGAAACTGATGTGTATATTCCTGGGAATCAGTGACAACAACTTGCTTTTTTGTTGTGGTTACAACTGAAAATGAGGACCATTTTTTGTGAGGGGCCAAGTGAGATGACCTGAATCCTGTATGAATTCCTCCCCTCCCTGAGACAGTACTGTATTGTCAACCCAGCTCCAGTGGTTCCAGTACATGGGCTTAAGTTTTATTCTTGCAAATGCACTGAGGCAGGTTCCTGCGCGCTCACTTCCGGGGGCCCGCCCTCTCAGACTCACCGGAGTGTTTTTCTTTCTCTGGTGGGAGGACCAGTTGGCCGAATGTTAATTTTCTATGTCAGCACTTTAGATGTCCCTTGACAGGATTTTAGCCTTAAACCAAGCATCGCATAAGGAGGGGTTCATCTGATGGCTTTTGACCTCTCCAGATTTGTCCCATGCAATTATGGAATTAGTGACAAATACTACCTGTTGTGTGTGATTTTACTCTACATTTCTTCAACTAAGCAGGCAGGGAAGAGAGATATTACTCTCAAATCCAAAGGTCCGGTGTTCAAAACTGACTGGGGAAGATACTGGTTGAATGAATTTACTTACCTCATTAATGCCAATTATAGGGAAAGTTATTTTCATCATAGGTACTAACCCTCTACTTGAGTGCCCTCTACTTGAGTCCTGGCTGAGCTGGAAGTGCCAAAAACTAAAACCCATCTCTGGCTGCCCTTAGCTGCATCTGAAGATATAACCAGCAGCATTGCTGGAAGCACCTACTTGAGGCCAGGTAGAGGCTTCCGAACCCAGCAGCCTGGACAGGAGAACCCATTAAAAACTTCCTTACAGCCTGAGAAAAGAAAGTAGGAAAACAAAAACTAGGCAAAGCCGGGCCCTAGTGGTTCACACCTGTAATCCTACTAGCTACTCAGGAGGCTGAGATCAGAGGATCAAGGTTCAAAATCAGCCCAGGCAGGAAAGCCTGTGAGACTCTTATCTCCAGTTAACCCAGAAAACTGGAAGTGGTGCAGTTGCTCAAGTGGTAGAGTGCTAGCCTTGAGCTGAAGAGCTCAGGGACAGCACCCAGGCCCAGAGTTCAAGCCCATGGCTGACAAAACAATCAATCAATAAATAAAAAACCTAGGCAGAGGAGGATGAATCACTCAGTCTCACCAAGTTCCCAGGTTCAACCCCTGTATCCCCTTCCTGGCCAGTCATCTTTTGTGTATGTGACTTCATACAGGGATAAGTTGAGCTCAGTGGAGAAGTATCTCAGAGGCCCATAAAGGCTCTTTCCCATTTGCCAAACCTTTCTAGTTAGAGCTAGAGGTGTTTTCGTCCAGCCTCTGAGAGGAGCAGCCTGGGCCTCTCTGCCTCCTGGAGTGGCTACACTTTGAGTTGGCTTCAAAGCAAGATCCCATAGTCCTGGCAAGCTGTGAAGCCAGGCAGGATGTTATGTTCACCAGCAGGGGAACAGTGAGCTTCTTGTGGTGAAGTGCAGTGAACACAGGACTGAGGATGTCTCACAAACACCAGGGAAGGAACGTTTCCCACACAGCAAGGTTGTGTGGAATGGGGAAGAGGAAGGGATAGGATACTAGGAGAATGGGAGTTCCAGCTTTATCTTGCCTATCTAGCCTTAACATCCCTGAATTATTATAGGACAAAGGAAACTGAACCCTCTGTTCCTAGTATCTGACCACTGTTTTGCCACAGGGACACTATCTTTGTAGAGCCTTGCTTCCTCTCCGCCCCCCCCTTTCCTCTCTTCCTCCTCCTGACCGTCCCCCCTCATGTTATTAGGAAACTCAGGTCCGAATGAACTGCCAGCCTCAAGATGTATGTTAGCTGAGAAGTAGAGTTTTCTTCTTCCTCCATTTCCCCTATTGACTTCCGGAAATTGGCTTCTTTGTAGAAATCTATTTTACCTTCATGAGAAGAGGCAGCCAGAAGTGCGACCCCAGCTTCACTGCCGGCTCCTTGCAGAGACTGCTTTGGATGTCTCCACAAAGCTTGTCCTGTGTTTAAGCACTGAAGGTTACAGATCACTTTCTTCCCCCTCCCAGAAGGCGTTGGGGTGATAAGAAGCATTTCTCCTGAACTTCTGTAAGATATTGTTAAGGCTTTACTATGAAGTTTCTGTAAATGTCCTTCCACCAGCAGCATCTCTACTGCTATGGTGGCATCGTGATGATTTTCAAGCTAATGTTTCAGGATTTCTTTTCCAGCCTCCTTTCACTGCGAGAATGAAAAACATTGGCTAATGCTAGAAATGTGGCCTCTCAGGGCCAATGACTGCTCAGGAAAAGATGTCTGCTTCCCCCCCCGCCCCCCAAGACCCCTCAGTGTGGGGCATCTAGTAACCTGGTAAATCTAAAGGAAATTCCTTTCTGCTCTACCGACTCAGAAGGGATTTGCTTGAAATGCAAGAAAACCAACATCAAATATTCCTGTAGTCCAGGAGCTCAGTTCATGGAAAGGTCAGCTTTATGCACACAGATGTATCTTCAACTAGCTGATATGCCTTCCTGGCATATCAGGGAGGAACTTGTTACAGATGAAATACTTGAAACCCCTGTGGCCAGCCCTCGGGTACCACACTCTGATGAGGTGGGAGCCAGGCTCACTTCCTGCCAGTCACATCCCTTGCTTGAAACTGAAATTCAGTTTGCCTTTGAGTATAGGGATGTAGAGTAGACTTACTGTTTGTCTTGATCAAAAATTTATTTTTCTAGTGCATTTTTCTAAGTCAGAATGGTGAAGATAGTAATTTTAGTATGCATGTCTGGGTCCTAAAGAATAAAAAAAAAATCCCTGTGTGTGATGAGTATGTGTTCAGTTCTTTTGTGACAGTGACATTTTGGATAGATTCTGAGCTTTGGGAGGGCACTGTGGCTGATGGTGGGCTGACTGCCTCCAAAGGTTGTAAGCACTTGGGCCACATCAATGGGTGCCAAGCAGAGCTAGATATACAAGGTAGAAGAGAAAGTATACAAATGTTCCAGTTCATGGGGCTGGGAAGGTAGCTCAGTGGTAGAGCACTTGCCTTGCATGCATGAGGCCCTGGGTTTGATTCCTCAGCACCACATAAGCAAAATGAAAAAAGCCGGAAGTGGCACTGTGGCTCAAGTGGTAGAGCGCTAGCCTTGAGCTGAAGAGCTGAGGGACAGCGCCCAGGCCCAGAGCTCAGGCCCCACAACCAGACCCAAAAAACCAAAAAACAAATGCTCCAGTTCTCTGCTGTGTGCCAGTAGCTCACACCTGGAATCCTAGCTACTTCAGAGGTTGAGATTTTTGGGATCAAGGTTCAAGGCCAATCTGGACAGAAAAAAATCTTTACATGATGTAACAAGAAAGAGCTGGATGCTGAGGTGCATGCCTGTCACCCTAGCTAACAGGAAGCCCAGTATAGGTCAGTTGCATCCTGCTGCACACCTGGACAGGGAACAAGAACCTATCTCAGAAACAGTTCAAATCACGATTTGAGGTGAGGCTCAGCATAAGAGTGTCTGTCTAGTAAGTGTGAGGACCAGGGTTCAAACCCCACTACTGGCGGGGGGAAAAAAATGTAATTCTCAAAGTTCAGCCATGCTCTTCAGGAACTGAATTCAGGCCTTGAATCCTCCCTGGTACAGCCAGCCCTACCATACCAAGAGTGTTCCAGGAACATGGATTAAGAGCCACATGATATAATATCATTTAATCTTCAGGTACTTAAAGAAGTGAATTGCTCTGTGGGGAAAATAGGGCACAAAAGAAAAGCGGCTTGCCTGAGGACACACAGCCAAACAGCAGACAGGAGATTCAAAGCCAGGCAGTCTGACCAGGCCCTGCATCAAGAGCCAGAGGGCTA